TATATATATGAATAAACCTGAGCAATGACATCAATGACCTCTATAACAAAATTTTTAAATCGTTAAAGAGATGAAGGAAGATACCAGAGGATGGAATGACCTCCCATACCCATGGATTCAATAATTAATATTGTGAAAATGACCACCCTATCAAAAGCGATATACAGATTCAATGCAAACCCATTCCAAATCCCCATGACATACTTCAGAGAATTAGAAAAAAAAAAAAAAAACACCCTGGGCCAGGTGAAGTGTTGCACATCTTTAATCCCAACACTTGGGAGGCAGAGACAGGCAGATCTTTGTGAGTTCGTGGACAGCCTGGTCTACATAGTGAGTTTCATTCCAGCTGGGGCCCAAATTTGGGATGCTATCCAGAGGCTAGATCTAGGCACTCTCAGATGGTCGGCTAAGGTCTCAGACCCTACTGAAGGGCAGAGAGGTCTAGGCCTAGCAAAATGGAAGGGGATGCATATGGTCCCAATGTTTGGCATGGTACAATTCGGGGAAGCTCACCACAACATGGAGACCAGATCCAGGCACCCTCAGGCATTCTGCTGAGGTCTGGGCCCCCACTGTACGACAGAGAACTCTAGCCCTTGTGATGTGGGGAAACTCACCAGCATGCTGAGGCTGGATCCAGGTTTCCTCAGGCAATCTGCTAAGGTGCAAAATAATTTTTGAAAAAGAAAATAATATGCCATTTTTTAGTGTCTGTGAACCTAATGGATACCAATCTTAAGGAGACAGCACAAAGTAGAAGAAACTGTGCTTTGTTTTTCACATTAAATGGAGAATTTAAAGTATCAAAGGCAAAAGGTATCTCTGATTCCCTACTTTTCAAAGAAAAGTGATAGCATTCATTAACTCTGTCACTGTGTCAATCATGGAAGGGCCTCCCACTTGGCCTTCTAAGATCTATACAGTTACACTGTATTACGTGGGCTGTCTAACACAGGGATTCCAAAACTTAAGCTCTGTTGCCAAAATTCCTTCTGGGAGGCATGCGCAGCATCCAGCCCCCTCTTCCCACTATCCTTATGACAAAACCAGTTATAATTTCTCTAAACTACTGTTTGGGAAACTGAAGAATTTATGGGGCTTCCATACAAATCAATGGGTAGGAGGTTACTTACAGAAGTATGGGCGCAAGTGGGCTTCCCCCTTCATTGTAGCAGGGACCCTGACCTCCCGGTGGATGCCCAAGATGGTCAAGGCCACCCCTTCTCTCTGGTTTCCCCTGTCCCTATCCTTAGACCCTCCCCATGTACCACTCAGATCAGCTGGTTGGATAGAAGCATGGTGGAGTCTTTCTGCCCCTTCCTTCCTATGGAAAGTTCATTTGTGGTGGTTGGAGAAAGTGGGTGAATCCCAACTTGAGAAGAAGGCATCTGTTCACTGCTTGCCAGTCTAGCTTGCCAGGCAGAGGACAAATCCCTACAACAAGCTCAGGTTTTCTAAAGGCCTCAGGATAAGATTTTCCTTAAAGATTTCTAGGGTTAGAAGGAAGAGTTTATATGAAAGGCTCCTAAGGGTTCCCTCAAAAAAAGGAGGGGCATTTCGTTGAAGAGGTAGAAGAAGCTTACGCCTGCTTTAGACTTGATTGGGGGCTAGGAAAAACCTTCAGAGTCAAAATGAAAAGAGATGTACATAAATCTCTCTGAAAATACCTAAAAGGCCTAAGCCATCCCATCCAGATTTTGTCATTAAATAATGGAGGAACACAGAAGTGCTCCCCATTGGCAATGGAGTAGTGGATAAAGAATTGAATCATCTCCTACTATAAGTTTCAGGGAAAATCTGCTTATTCTCTCCCATTCATTTAACTTAGTCTGCTTTTAGGTGGGCCATAGTAAAATCTCCTTCAGATAAGCAAAATGGACAATTTCCAACATAAACAATTTGACAAATTCTATTTTAGGACAATCCCTAGTGTATATTTCCAATATTCATGACATGGGGATAACATGAGACTGTATATTTATACAGATTCACCAGTATGGATTCAATGATGAACACATTTGGAAGAATAACTTAAGGTTTTATTACATACTTCATGATTTTCTCAGTTTTAAACATTCATTAAAGGCTTTCACAAATCACTTAGGCTAATAATATTTCTTCCTAGTATTGATTCTCTTTTGGTTTGTAAGGAGAGTGCTGTGGCTAAAAAATTTGTCATATTAATACCGGCAAGTTTTCTAGGCAGTATGAATTTTAAAATGAGCTGTTTTGCACTCTGGGTGAAGGATTTCTCTCCAGTATGATGTCTTTGATGAATTTTAAGGTTTGAAGCCTGAATAAAGAGTTTTTCACATTCATTACATTGTAAGGTTTCTCCCCAGTGTGGATTCTGTGATGCCTTTTCATGGCTGACATCCACTTACAGGATTTTTCACAGTCTTTGCATTTTTAGAGTTTCTCTCCAGAATGAGTTCTCTGATGTCATTTATGATTTGAGCTTTTGGCAAAGGATTTGTCACATTCCTTATATTTGTAACCTTTCTATCCAACATGGATTCTGTGACGTTCTTTAACGTCTACAACCAACTTAAACGGCTTGCCACTCTCTTGGCATTTGTGGAGTTTCTCTCCAGTATGAACATCCTGATGTCTTCTAAAAGTTAACATAAAAGTGAAAGATCTGTCACAGTCCTTACATTAGTAAAGGTTCTCTCCAATATGGACTCTGTGATGCTTTTCAATATTTGACAACCACTTAAAGGACTTGCACTCTTTACATTTGTAAGGTTTCTCTTCACTATGAATTCTCTTCTGTGACTTAAGGCTGCAGAACCAAGCAAAGGATTTGTCACATTCCTTACATCTGTAGGGTTTCTCTCCAGTATGAATTCTCTGATGTGACTTAAAATATGAGCAAAAGACAAAGGATTTGTTACATTCCCTACATTTGTAATGTTTCACACAAAAATGGATCCTGTGATGGTCTGTAATATCTGACCCTGACTTAAAGGACTTGCCATGCTTTTGGCATTTGGAGGGTTTCTCTCCAGTATGAATTTTCTGATGTCTTCTAAAACTTGACACAAATGTGATAGATTTGTCACATTCCATATATTTGTAATGTTTCTCTCCAGAGTGGATACTGTGATGCTCTTCAATACATGTCAGCCATTTAAAAGATTTGCCACACTTTCTGCGTTTATATGGTTTCTCTTCCATATACATTCTCTGATGTGATTTAAGATGTGAGCAGGAGAGAAAGGATTTGTCACTTTCCTTACATTTGTAAGGTCTGTCTCTCTGAAATTTCTGATGTTTTCTGAGACTTGAGCAAAGAGTAAAGAGTTTGGCTCTTTCATGACATTTCTAAGACTTCTCTCCAGTGTGGATTCTGTAATGGCATTTAAGTTCACACTTTCCACACTCTTTGCATTTGTAAGGTTTCTCTCCAGGAAGGTTTTTGTAATGTCTTTCAAGTGTTGAGAAATGATGAATGGAATTGCCACATTCATCAAATTCACAGGTTTTCTCTCCAGTATGAATTTTTTGATGTTCAGCAGGATTTGAGCATTTTCCACAATTCTTACATTTATATCATTTCTCTCCACTTGGGATGTTTTGTTGGAGAACTTTATAAGTAGAGCCAAAAGATGTATCACATTCTTTATATTCTTCTTTCTTTCCAGAGTTGATTCTAAAACTTTGACTAATACTGGAATAGAAATTTAAAGATTTGTCACAGTTTTTACATTTTGCAAGGTTCTTCTCCACTGTACAGTCTATTGTGTCAGTTTGGGTACAATGGTTCATCTGAGGCATTCTTGTGATTAGCACATCTGAAACTGTCAGATTTTGCAGTTGTATTACTTATTTTATCAAATGTACATTGGGAAGACACATGGACTATTTGGCCAAGGTCATTACATTTATAAGGCTTTTCATCAACATTTAGTTGCTGATGGACCTGTGAGCATTGATCCAAGACTTCTTATTTTTATCACATGTGCAAAGCTTCTCTAGAAAATAATTTCAATTAGAATCAGTAGGTTTTAATCCACCAATAAACAGAATCCATAATGCACTTTCTTATGTGCTCTCAGAGGTAAGTACACTGTTAGTTACTGAGAATAGAGCTGTCAGTAATGGCATTTCACCATTCATCAAAAGCTACAAACTTAAGGATACATAACAACCTTCTCATTCTCACATAAATTGTGCAAAGTGGCACAATATGGAAATGATATTTGATGAAACAATCTTGGACCCAGGAAAAAGGCTTTCTGATTCATTATATTTAGAATTTCTTTCCCTTATAATTCTTTTTTATTTTTACAGAAATGAAAAGGATAGTATAATTCAGCATTGCATATGAAATATTTCCACTTACTGGTTTCCAATGCACATCAATATTCAGAGTACTCAAATTTCATTAAAGAGTAAAGTCTTATTAAAAACTTGATCCAATATTTGCTTAATGATACATGAGATATTTCAAATATGAATGTAAACTAAATAATTTGATTAACATGAAGTATCCTATATTATTTGAGGCAGGAATATTGTGGGCAGTTCTGCATACTGCTGATTCATAAACCTATATTGTCTGAGCTCTGTGCACTTACCACTATATTTTTTTTCTTTCCTTAAAGGGAAATCAAGTACACAGCTTTCTTGGGTTCCTGACATTATTTTCTGTAATAAGCTTTGTGCATTCTCCCATTGGAAAAGCAGTTGGTTGTAATCAGAAGATAAATCTGCAAGAAAGGAAATTAAAGAATTACCCAATTTCATGGGCTCAATAATAGTATTTCAAACTGAGATTATTAGCAAAGAGACAGCATAGAGAACTTTGAGTGTTCAGGCCTAAATAAAGTATGTAAACTGAAACAAAACTTTCCAAACTTTGTTTCTCAAATGTGTAAATTAGTCATGATTTTGCATTTGCACTGAAGACCCCTATGGTAAGATTATACTTATAGAATAAAGAATCAAAATATTTTGTTTATTCATAAAACAAACAAAAAGTCTTCTTCTTAGCAAATAAGATAGTACAGTAATGGAGGGTCTCAGAGAGAAGACTCAGTGTGTTACAAAGTCACCAAAAACCTGAATCACATGTGCATGAAGAGGGAACTGCGACAGAGTTGGTGATCAAATCAATAGCGAGAAATGGAGCTCAGGAAACAACCTATTAATGGGAGATTTTTACTAGAGCAAAAGAAAAATATTCTTCATCACCACAGGAAAACAAACATGACTAATTGTCAAAAACCAAAAAATAAAACAACAGCATAAAATAAATCTGTGCAAAGAAATGGAAATAATGATAAGTATTAAAGAGGAGGCAGAGAATAATTTAATTCTTTAGAGACAGGCTCTGTCTCTGTAGCCCTTACTGGCCTGGAATTTACTATATAGACCAAGGGCCTTGAATTCATAAATACTCACCTGTCTTCCAAGTGCTGGGACTAAATACTTGAGACACCATGCCCAGGATTCAGGTACAACTTAAATCTGTCCTAAGGCATAATTCATTCTTGATAAATTCATTGGCAGCTCTTGATAAGGAAAAGAAATGAAAATAACATTAAAAATAAATAATCCATTTACCAATGAGCAGTGAGTGGAAGAGAGCATTCTTAAAAATAAAAATTACTCACCAAAAGTACAGTATAGAAATGTGATACATCTGGAATCATAAAGAAATCCAAATCTAAGTGGATATGAGATTCCAATACTTTCTAGTTAGAAAGTCAATTCAATAGGTGCCAAACAGTAGCGAATTCCACAGACAACAGAGTCAGAGTAAGAGTAGACTCCTTGTCGGGGGGTGGGGGGATCCAGTTTCTTGAAGCCACAATGTAAATCAGCATGGACCTTCCTAAAGTCATGTGAAAATGATACAGCGCAATCTCAGATATAGCTTTTGTATGGAATAACTTTATAACAAATTGAAGTAGATTGTTGTAATATTCTGGTGGCTTTTACAATCCCTATGATATGAAAAAAATATCTAGAGCACATACTGAAAAGAAATTTATAAGGAATGAAAATACGTTAAAAAATAAATATATGCATTTATTAATATAACAGAGAAAAAGCTAATAGACATCAAAAATACAGAAAAACTAACAAAATGGTAAGAGTGTGTTCTTTCCTTTCAGTGATCTTTTAAATTATCAAAGGATAATATTCCTTAGGCAAAAGGCATAAATATACTTCCAGAATCTAGAAAAAAAGAAAAAGAAGATTACATTATATATTCTCTACAAAAATTTCACATCACCGGCGATGGCGGCATACACCTTTTATCCCAGCACTTGGGAAACAGAGGCAGGCAGATCTTTCTGAGTTCAAGGCCAGCCTGGTCTACAAAGCAGGTTCCAGGCCAGCTGGGGCTCCAGCGTTGACATGTGTCAAAAAGACTAAATAAATAAATAAATAAATAAATAATAAATAAATTGAACAAATTCACATCAAATCTATGGACAAAAATGGTTAAGAATGTAGTAATTTAAAAAGGCTATCCCTTGAATATGTACAGTAAGAAGGAACTGGGTTGGACATAACAGGGAATTAAAGGAAAAGTTATCAAAATTAAAATAAAGAATATCAACTAAAGCTAAAATGATCCATTCTCTTGAAAGCTATTTTATGAGTAGGATCACATTCCAACAATAGCTTCCAAATACATGAAGCAACTATTGACATGATTGGAAGAAGAAAAACATGACACTAGATTATGTCAGTGTTAAAATTGGATACTGCCGACAGAATGTTAATGAACATCACATGACACAAGACATAAGAAAACCCAGCAATTCCTAGCAGCCCTACAGAGAGTCATTCATACATCAGTCAAAGAACTCCATCTTCTCAAAATTCAAGAAACACTTTACATGGTGGATTGTGTCTTACTACTTGAATGATTCTTAGAAATTAAGTATCAGCATTTAAAAATTATCTTTTAAGACCAAACTTGAATGCAGACTTCAACAGCAAATAGCAAACAGAAGAAACCATGAGTGACTAGTGGAAATTGACACACTGTTGGTGTGACCTTATTCAAAGACTGGAAAATAACACATACTCTGACAACATTCTGATAATGCCCATAAATCCAACCATTTTTTGGTCAGAAATAGAGAAAATAATTCTACTAAAATATAGAATCTCCAGAAATAACAAAGATTTTTAAAAATATCAAGAGAAGTCAATCCAGAAGCACCATATCTAATAACATAATAAAATTATAATAATGAAAAGCTTTACCATTGGTCTGAAGACAGATCACTGGCGATATTAATGGTATCAGAACATAATCCCACACAGGCATAGTTAAATAAGATTTCATTTTCATATTTGCTAACATAATTCCAGTACAATAAGGGCCAAAGTCTTCTAACATTTACAATAGGATATTTCTTGAGGACATTATGGTTAGTCAAATTCTCAATAATTATTTCTAGTGAAACAGAACACATCAGAACCATTTTTAGATCTTCCTTTCTTTTTGAGTTGAACTCACTTTGGATCTGTCACACACACTCAAACCCACCTTGCTGTTTGGCTGCCGTCTCCACTCTCTTAACATTCCAGGGTATTTTGATTCCCTCCAGACCGGTGGCCAAGTCTGAGTTTGACACAATTATACCTGTGTATTAGTAAGTGGTACAGAAAAGGGGATGGAGAGATGGCTCAGCAGTTAAGAGCACTGGCTGCTTTTGCAGAAGACCCAGGTTCAATTTCCAGCACCTACATGGCATCTAACAACCTTCTGTAACACCAGTTCCAGGGGTTCTGACACCCTCTTGTGACATCTGTGGGCATTGCCCAACAGGGGTGCACTTATATACATGCAGGCAATATACCCATATACATGAAATAAAAATAAGCAATAAAATATTTTTAAAAGAGCCAGGCATGGTGGTGCATGCCTTTATTTCTAGCTCTTAGGAGGCAGAGGCAGACAGATCTCTGTGATTTCAAGGCCAGCCTGGTCTACATAGTGAGTTCCAAGCCACCTGGGGATGCAGGGAGACTCTGTCTCAAAAAATAATTTCTCTTTAAAGAAAGTTGTGGAGGACAAGTGCTGGGTTCACTGAAAAGGACAAGCAGTGCTGTGCTCAGTAAAGAGACAACATAACTGAGGAATCTAGAAGTCATTTCAATTCTTATTTGCTTACAGAATCTTCAAAATATTTAGGGGGAATTTTCTCTACATA